TGCTGAAAGTGATTTTGATGAAAATGTTTTGCAAATGAATCCTGCCAAAGCAATGAAGTGTTTCCTACAATAAGCACATAACTGGTGCTTCTTGCAAGAAGTATTTGAAGTGTTTTTGGAACTCAAAATCATTTTCTCTAAAGTTTTATGTCATTCTAAAAACACTTTCAAACAAACCCGACATAAATTAATTGAGAAGTCCAGTCATGTTGATGGTAGAACTAGTGTAGGAAATTCAAAGGTGATGCAGTTATGAAATTCATGGTTCATGAATCGAGTGCCTCACATTTACTACCTTATGGAGAAAACCTTTATACGCCCGGTTCATAAAATGCATATTTCATTTGCTAAGTTATACGAGTAAAACTTTTATAAGCCTGGCTCATAAAACAAATCTCACATTCACTACGTCATAAAAATTAACACTTAGACGATAACTATAAAACACCTATTTCTGCCATAAACTTTTTCTGATTTAGCGTGCCAAACTGGACCAAGGCAACCATTAAATAAACACGTTGAATAGTTGCTTTAGTTTTGAATCAAATGTGATAGAGTACTGCTAATTGAACCCAAGTTAATTAATTAAGGGGCGTTTTGATATAAGCGCCTCATTTTTTGCTTCATTGATTAAACATATGTTCCTTTTAAGTATTTGATTAAAGCATTTTTCCTACAATTTTGGTGATTTAATTTCATTTTATTAGGGGTTCAATTTTACCTATAATATTGTACGTTTGATTACCTATAATATTGATACATTTGATTTTTTTTGGTACATTTTGTTTTTTGGTACATTTAGAATGTAAATGTCCCAAAAGTTAGAACGTTTAATTTGAAATGTACCATAAGTTTTAAATATATTTTTTACATAACTATAAGGAAAAATTAACAAATTAATAAAAGTTTTCTTATGAAAGTACTAGCATATGGGCAAACACAAAGTGTGTGAGAATTTTTTTTTTTTTTTTTTTTTTTTGGTTTTTGAAATAGATGGAGAGAGGAAGAGAGTGATAGAGAATGTGGGAGTGGGAAGTTTTTTTTTTTTTTTTTAATTAGAAATATGTTAAGATTACATGTAGGTGAGGCTTTGAAAAAAAAAATTTGATTGTGTGAAATTACATTCTGCCCCATATTTCTTATTCATGTTCTATTTTAAATAGAGGATTAAACTAGTAATTTCATAAGATTTTGGTTGACAGTGAGTGTTTTATTAATTAGTAAAGATTAATAACTCTTTTTAATGTAGGAAGAAACTAATTAAGTATAATAACAAAAATAAAAAGTTTCTTTTTTTAAGTGATAATGAGGAATAATGAAATTAATATTCTTAATAGAAAAACTTTTGAATTTAAAATTCCTAGGTTGTAGAAAATTAGTTGGAGGTTAGCTTAAGTGGATAGTATTAAATTAATAGAAAAATGCTAAGAAAGCATCTTAATTAATCAAATTTTATAAAAAGATGTTTAGTCTAAACAAGTTAGAAAAAATGTAGGGAGTTCTAATTGCTCCATTTAATTAATCACAATGATGTAAATTAGTACTCACTAGATCAACCCTGCTGTTTAAAATTTTCTTTCAGAATTTTTTTTGAATATAATATTATTAAACAAGAGGTTTTTGGTTTGATTCTTACAAAGACGAATTTGAACCACATTATTCATAACTCATTATGAGGCTAACCCCACCTCCACCCCTTACTGTAAATAATATCGTTTCTTTGAAGAAAAAAAATTATTATAAAGTTATTAGCAAATTTAGCCTAATGTTACACAATATAACTTATATGTAGGTTTAAAGATGCACATTTGTAGGTGTAACGTTCATATTATAATGTACGAAAAAGAAGCAATGAATTGTAAAGATACTAAAAATTTAAATGCGACTTTGTTTTGCGATGTGAGTCTTCATTCTCTAGTCTTTCCTGTATTACACCATTATGTGTAGCAAATAGCAGTATACTAGTAATAGTGCTCGCACGTTGCCGCGGGCTTAAAAAAATGTGTAAAACATATGTGCATTTATATTAGGTGTATTATTTACAATTGTATTTATACACATAATAATTTGTGCCTGAAAGTTATATTGACTGTCAGTTCACAATTTTTTTGCTTTATTTGTGATGATGTACATGCTTCTCTGTTATGATCTGAGAAAATAGAATCTGTTAGTACAAATAAATAAGAACGTTAAAGAAGAACGATTTTTATAATTGGTAAAGAGATTGGGTAATTTTTGTAGTTTTTAAATAAATTTAATAATATACTTCAAAGAGAACTGCAAGGTACCTATGATTTTGATCGGCAATCTTCTCCAATAGCAACACTGGATGATGGCATAAACTGTCATAGCCTTCAAAAATGACAATTGGCAACAAAAAAAATAAAAAAAAAGCATTGATTGCTTTCTTTGTAAATTGAATTTACACACCATATGAGAGGTTAATCTAGCTTTGATCTAGATTTGAAGTACATGCTGAAGTTCTCATTGATTGACGATGATGGTATATACAGTTGATTGACTCGTTTCGGATGAAGACAACTGTGAACATTACTGAGCCAAAAGTTGTTGTGGAGTTTGTTAGAGAATTCGGCAATACATGTAAAAACTGAGAATTGTTCCAAATGATGAACCATGGTTATAAAGGAGTTTTATTTTATAGTGGAAAACAACAGAAAACAATAAAAGAAAATCTTTACAAATTCGTTTGAATTTCCTATACCATATGTTACTGCGTTTTCAATTTTACACACCAATGTGCCTACCATATTTGCAGCACGAAACCAACATTAACATATAACATATACAATATATATCACTGTCAAGAGCGAATTTCTTATTATTTAGATATTTCGATTCAAAAAAGTAAGATATTAGAAACTTGAAAAACAAAGATTGGGTTGAGTGCTTACCTGCCAATCTAGCAATAGGAACGAACACTATAGCTCCAATTCAAAGGTCAAACTTTTCTGCAAATAAACCACTCTACGTTTCACCAATTTATTCCATCTCACCACGAAAACTGAGCAAACACAAACCCACGTTTATATCTTGACAGTTAAGACGTAAGAAAAGCTAAAATATATTTACTCTAATTGATCAAATTGCTTAGTCTAATTCCCAAAATATGTAATGTACAACATGGTCATCTTTACACATGTATTATGGAACAAACCAAAACCAAATTAAGGAATTTTAATTTAAAAACAAAGGTAAAACATAAGGTACAAATTACACTAAAGTATGGACATTGCAACCAAAAAAAGAACGGATCATTTACTGTCAAGTTAATATTGTAATCTCTTATTACATTATTAAGGTCTTCTTCGTACTGCAAAGATAATAAACAAAGTTTAAGTCCACTAATTTTGAGGCCAAATAAGAAATAATGTCATAATTATAAAAAAACTAAAATAGCTGACAAATAATTTGATCAAAGTGAACAGAAGACGATCTTACAATGCCATACCCTACGATCAATGATAATTTGATACAATGCCACGTGGAAATTCCTTAGCCCATCTACTGAAGACTAAATGTGTGAAAAAATAGGCTGCAAAAGAAGAGTAAACGAAGCATAAGTCGAAAAAGAACATTTGGTCACAAATGACCTGACTGTTAAAAGTAAATTATAAGAACTTACCATGGGTATTGATAGAAGCAAAAGACTGTTCACAAAGATTTATCTATTACCAAAGAATTAGTGAAACACATAACTAAAAGCAAATTCCTATCTACCCAAGTCTTTATACAACTAAAAAAGTTGGGCACATTTAATCATAACCTGGAAGAAGAATTCATTTGGTGCTTTGATTCAAACCTGGCTGAAATCTTTGGGTCTTCTTACGATTTCAAACGTCTCCAAACCACCTGGTGTTTCAAAAAAACATAAAGCCCAATAAATACAACTCACACAACAAAAATTAATAAATATAAAAACCGATTTTGTTCGAATCAACACAAAAAACCAAAAACTTATAGGAGCTTCCTTCTGAGAATCTCAAACTCAAGCCATTTCAAAAAAAAGTTCTTTGCATTTCCTCAAATACGTGCTAAACTCTGTCCTACTGCTCAAAATCCAAATGAGTACTTAAGATATACAGAACCACATTTAAGTTAAGGCTATACTGCACTAAATGACATTCAAAACCGCAATACACCAAAACAAAGATGAATTCAACACCTTGAATGTGTAATATTCATATCTAAATCTAATTTGAAACATAATTTTCGCCCTTAAAAATTTTTCAACAAATGAACAATCAATTTAGGAAAGCAACTACAATGCAACTGAAGAGCTGTTCGACTTAGCTCCATTTAGTATGGCCAAAAGCTTGAAAAACAGCTTAGAAGCACAATTCCAAATATTACCAAAAGCAAGCACCTTTGGGGTAAAGAGCCCACTTTCCCACACAGAGCTTTAAGTTCATGCTACATGATTCGAATTAATTTATCGCTAATATAAGTTCTAAAATGGTAAAAATGAGGAAATACACCTATCACCCTGTTCACTGTGATCTTTGAAATCCAAGTTCCACTATGTGACCCTCTACATAGCTGCGTAACTTCCAGTGACGAACACGGTTTCAAAATATATAAACTTCATAACTTAATTCATTGTATAAAATAGAATAAAAAAAGATGATTTACACTTGTAAGGCATTCTCCAATGTTGATATAAAGTTGAGTCAGTTGATTTGTGACCACCAACTGTAAACGAAAAATGTAAATGTTAAGTTAGTTTACATGTTTAAATCTTTTGGAAAATACTAAGTTATGTTATTATGTATGATGGCATGCCAAGGACCAAATAAAAAAAATAACAGTAAAGAGTTAAAACTCAAAGTTGAAATACCATCTTCAATGTACCATCATATGCCAGCATTTAAAGTTGAATTGTTAAAATTTAAATCCTATGATCAACTCACCTTTCTTAATCTTTTCTGGAGGAATAAACAGAACGTTTCTTGTACTCTTCTTTAATCACTGCACTAAAAAAAAAACATTAATGTTTAAATATTAAAATTGAAGATCTTAAATTCATAAGTTATAAACTTAAAAGCTAGTTAAAATAAGCATCCATCACAACAATAGCACGGAAATTAAGTTGTTTTATTTCTGAACATTTTTTTGGCAATCAAACGGAGGAAATCTGTGTTAAACTAAACAGGCAATGGTTGTTAAATTTAGTTCTTTAAATTTATAATTTTTTTAACATGTGAGTTGATCCATACTTTTTAATTTGGTTTGGAAATGGGGTAAGATCATGTTGGTTTAAAACAATTGTTAACATGTTATGGTGGAATATATTATACCAAGGATTAAACAAATAGTTGTCATTTATTTCTTGCAATGCATTCACTGTTCATGAATAGTGACATCAAATTGATAAGTTTGTAGCTACATAGGAAAAAAGACTAATAAGTATTATGCACATAAGTAATCAACCAAAACCTCATTCCACATCAACTAATCAATAGCTTGAACTGCAAATAAAAAATAAAAAAAATTGATTCGAAAACCTCTGTAACTATTGTAATTTTCAATTTCTAACACATTCTTTTGATCAATATCATTTGAATCGGTGTAATTTCATCAAATTCTAATCCATATGATCACTTGTGTGCCTAAAAACTGATCGACTCTTGACAGCAGTACAAAAAAAAAGGAAAATTTTGAAATAGGTCCAATTTTTAGTGACTTTTGATTTTTGAAATAGATCCAATTTTTAGTTACTTTGGACCCATATCAAAAAACCCCAAAAAAAATACTTGTAAAAATGAAGTTGTGTGCCTAAGGCAGAAGAACTTTACCTTAGGAATTTTCGCAACTCAGCTCAACCATTTTACCCACCCTAAAAATACTTCAAATCCGATCCACCTGCTAAAACACACCCAAAAAAAAAAAATAGCAAACTAATGAACTTAATTATATATGCCAAATTGGATAAATGATGCATGTGATCATAGGCTATTCAAAAGATAGTCCTTGTGCTAAAAAAAACTCGGATTTAAACTCTTATAATATACTCTGTTAACAAATTTAGTCTAGAAATTATTTTTCCGTTAACTATCTGTTAAAAAGGTGATTTTTTAGGCTCTCTGTCCTAAAATAGTAAAAGAGAGAAAACAACAGACTCGGAGATGGATATGGGCATGAGCTCAACCTTTTCTCTCTCCCTTATTCTTTTTATGTAATGACCAAAGCTTTTCTTTTCTTCTTCTCCGAAGAAGATGGCTCTGCAAGAAGAACCCCAAGAGCTCCAAAACCCTCCAATGGCATTCAATCCTTTATTATTCTACGAAGAAGGATTTGAGGAAGATTTGGGAGACAATGGTAGCGAGGAGGAGAGCAAGAACTGTGATGGGTTTTCAAAAAAGCAATCTTTCCCTTTGATTTTCCTAGAAAGTGATATGTTCTGGGAAAATGATGAACTTTCCTCTCTAATCTCCAAAGAGGAACAAACCCATGTGTGTTTCAATGGAGAAATCTCAGATGGGTCTTTGATGGCGGCTCGGAAGGAGGTGGTTGAGTGGATTCTAAGTGTAAAGGCACACTATGGCTTCTCTTCTTTGACCGTCATTCTGGCTGTGAACTACTTTGATAGGTTCATTGCCAGCCGGCTGTTTCAAAGGGACAAGCCGTGGATAAGTCAGCTAGTCGTCGTCGCCTGCTTCTTTTTGGCCGCCAAAGTGGAAGAGACCCATGTGCCCCTTCTCTTAAATTTGCAAGCATGTGTAAATTTCCATTTGTAATTTGTGTTTGTGAAATTGTTGTACTGTTGTGTTTATTGGATTTCTCATGATTGTGATTAGGTGGAGGAAACAAAGTATGTTTTCGGAATGTAGCTTTTGGTGCTATCAACTCTCGGGTGGCAGATGAATCTAGTGACCCCAAATTCATACTTTGATAACGGAAAAATCACTTTTGGACTAAATTTGTTTTGGATTAAATTTGTTAACGGAGTATATCACAAGAGTTTAAATCCGAGGTTTTTTAGCACAAGAATTATTTTCCGAATACCTTATGATGACAAGGATCATTTATCCGATTTGGCCAATTATATATGATCATTTCACCACATATTTCAAATTAATTGGTGAAAAAATTAATTAATTAAAATGAGTTAAAAAAGAAACAGTAAAAACCAAATATAATTGTGATTGTCCATTTTCTGGTCCCTGGGCTTTCCACTTGGAGTTCAAGATGGCACGAAACCACTAAAAAAAAAAAAAAACTATTCAATTTCTGAGTCCAGAGAACAAAACCAAGTAAACACCGCCACCTGCAACAGAAATAACACAGTAAAACAGAGTTTTTGAGAGAAAAAAAAAACAGAGGACTTTAATTTTACATCGATTGAGCAATCGATCTAGACGAAAACCCTAAATCTCGAAGACCAATATTTCCTAAAACGAAAATTCGAATAAGATGGAACAGCCACACACAAATCATCGAAAAAACCAAGAAGAAAAGATTTGAAGAAAAAACTCACAGACCTTAATCAGAAGGGGTTTGCAAGGTTGTACACAAAAACCCTAAAATTCGCACACCAATTTTCCTAAAACAAAAAAAAAACCCAATCAGATCAAACAACCACACTGAAAACACCAAAAAAAAAAAAAAAAAGTAAACAATCAGTGCAAAACGCAAAGACTTTAATTTTACAGCGATTGATCTGCAAATTTTCTTCCCAATCAAAGAAAAGACAAAAAAAATATGCAGAGAAACCACCCTAAACAGTGCAATCAGCCGGAAAAAGAAACTCTTCATACGACAAACGATCGACGCAGAGAGAGAAGCAGGGAAACACGAAGGATTGACGCAGGGAGAAAAGCACAGAAACAGAGAGGAGGAGAAAGGGAAAAGCAACGGAAGAAAATGGAAGAGCCTTCGAGCACCTTCCCCACCAAAAACGAAAAGGAAGGGTGGAGCTCTCGGAATCAGACTAACGTGTCGACATCGCTAGAAGCGAATAGACGCATGGGTACGAATGAGGGAAAAGAATGGGAAGATGAAAAATCAGGACTTCTTCAGTAGAGAAGGAAAGCACGAGAAAGAGTGAAAGATGAGAGAAGACCACAAAGTGAAGGAGAGTCAAAGGAAAAGTCGAGAAGGAGTTGAAGCAGAGCCCTTTTCGACGATGATCGACGCGTGGACAGAATGGATGTCATTCCACTGTGTGGAGAAGGAAAAATGGAGAACGACACCGAAGGAAAAGGAAAACGGAAGACGAACGCATGGGCTAGAAGGACAAAGGTGTCTTTTAGTTGTGTAAAAAATAGAAAAAATGGCTGATAACAAAGGAATTGAAGGGCAATTCAGTCTATTCACTGTTGGTAAACAGTGCGCTCTCTCGCAGGATGAACAATGCCATTCTGCTGGGCTTTGGTATATAGATAATACTAGAAAGTTGTGCCCGCGCTGTTGCTGCGGGATTAAAAATTGTAAGAAATATTATGTTTGAAAGATGTAAAGACTATGAGATAAAAGATTAATATTATTTACATTGAAAAGGAAATGATGATTTTTACATATGAAAGATTTTATATATGCAGCAGACACACCAAAAGTTGCAGAAGTTGTATTGTATTATCTAGAATAACAAAATATGAGAAAAGTAGTTTACTGCAACGCTAAAAGGTTTTCTCCAGTACTGTTGATTGTTGAGGAAGCAGCCTAGGCAAGGAAAGAAAAATATTGAAACACATGAAATGAATTTATATGACAGTAGAATTATACCGTGAAGAAAATAAGGATTTTGTATTGTTACCTTTTTCAGCAATTTTACAGCACCTCATCAAACTGTTGTGTGTTTGCCTTTGTGATTTGTTTTGGCTCACTATCTTAGATGTATAACAAAGATTGAAAAAGACAAATTTATATTAGATAAAAGATGGTTGAAAAATGGGAGAAAATATTGTTTGGTAGGGTGTAAATAGAAAGTTATATACCTGTCGATCAATTGCGGTAGCAAAAGTTGTGTAGCTGAAGTTGCAATGTAAACGTTCTATATCAAATACGGTTCATACATCTGTCTTTGCAATTTAAACTAAATGGTGTAATACTTAATTGAATGAAGAAAAGATATATATATATATATATAAATAAAGTAATTCAATTTCTTCAAAAAAGGAAAAGCTAAAAAAATAGTGTTTTAAGTTCCCAATTCTCACCGTAATGAACATAACGATATCGTTTTATATGTTCAAAAAATAACAGCATTGAAAAAACTCATTACTAAAAACTTCAATTTGACGAAAACATGTCAGCTTTTATCACATCCAATTAAAGTAGTGCAACAGCACACTGACACACTTAAACATGGAAACTTATATACTATTTGACAATGTAAAATCATTCAAACTCTAAACATTAGAAATGGATTCTAGAAAGTAAAAATATTTCCTTATATATGTTAAAAAAATTAACAAATTTTCAGTGAACGGTCACAGAAAAGGTATAGAAAGTAACCTAATTTCTTAATTCCAAAAAGGGAAAAGATAAAAAAAAAAAAAGGGTACTAAGTTTTTAGTTCTTACCATAACCAAAATTATCATATTGTTTTAATTTGAACTCGGTTTGATTTCCGTCATCAGCATTAATAGAACCATTAATTTCAATCTATGTAAGCAAATGATTAAATTCGACTCAATATGACCAATTTTCAATTCAACTAAACCAAAAAAGTAACCACAATCAAACTAACCTCTCCGTCCCATATGGAGTAAAAAACCTTGTCTCCTGTTTTGTCCTTCGCAAAGAATGAACTGTTCACTCTGTATATACAAAAAGAACACAGGATAATTTTGAGCACCGTTTCAAAAACCATACATAGACAGTATTATATAATAAAATCCAAATATAACACAACGAATGAACCTTAATGTAAGGTACAACAGCCTCTGATTACTTCTCATTTGTCCTTGCAATGAATATGTCCAAAAGACAAATCACCATTGAAAGAGGAATCCTTCTAGTGCATTAATTACTGCATATTCAAATCTAAAAGGTTTACTCTCCAGAAAATTACTCAACATACTTACTGTAAAATAATCGCAAAAAATCTTTAAAAGAATCCATACTATTAGATTATATCATCGCATTTAATGAATTGTTATAGTTGCATTCCCCCGTTAATATAACCAAAGCAGGTTCTTATAGTTACCTATTTGTCTTTTTCATAAAAATGAATTCTTTTAAAGTTTACACACCAAACATTTTGTCTGCATATGAATCATTTGGCTTCTAACAGATTAGTGATTAAAAATCTGGAAAACAAACACTTCCGAAATTTCAAACAAAAACATCATTGCTTTAATCACACATGCGCGCGCACACACACACACGCCTATTCTGAATTCATAAAAGAGAACAAAAATTATACATGCTTCAAGATAGCCATAATTTGAATTATAACCTACAACTTCAGAGGAAATTAAAAGGCAAAATCAAGCCAAGCCTACAATTCCGCCATTAACTCGAAGAATGATTATCCATTTTTAAATAAGTGTGCAATCCAATCAAATCCAACAACCATCCAAAGCAATATCACACAAAATTAACAGATGTCCAAGCATTGAAAGAATCACCAAAAAGACATGCACTTTGAAAAAGAAGAAAACTTACAGGGCTTTTATGTCTTGTGAGATGTCCAACTGAAGTACTTAATAGTAAAATATTATTATCATCATTGATAACTCTCTTCTATTACATGTTATGAGCTTTCCATTTATTACCCATTTCTTGGGAAAATTTACCCAATTATATTCGAAAGCATGAGACATGATAGTAAAACACAAAAACAAATTCAGAAGATTCAGAACTATTAAAAATTTCAACATTTCTTAACAACTATTTAGTAAGGATCAAAAAATCATGCCATCAAATAAATTTGAGGAAAAAAAAAAAAAAAAACTAAATTTAAGTTGAACAAAGGTGACACTTGCTTACCCAGAAATTCAAACCAAATCCCCAAAAATTTAAGTTGAATAGATGATAGCAACGAACTCCGATCTCCATCTCCTTCCAAATCCAAAAGAACCAAAACCCATACAGAAAATCTCAACGATGGGCGAGAATTCCTGAGAAAAATTCAAAAAATTTAGACAAAGATGGTGCTTTTTGCTGAAAAAAAAAAAAGGAAAAAAATCGATCTTTTCAAATAGAATCGGACTTGAGTGTACGTAACGATATGAACGTTTTGAGGAATCGTGGAAAGAAAGCCGAGGTATGGGTGAATTGGTGGTAGTAACGGTGGAAAGGGATCTGAAGCCTGAAAATTTCATATCTAAAATCACACCTTAGCCTGCAAGTCGAATCAAAACCGTGGAATTTTAAAAGCACTCACCTTAAACACAGAGGTCTTCGCAGGCTTCAAAGAAAAGTCATAAATTCGAAAAACCCGATCTCCTGAAACTGAAAGCAAAACCAAATTAACCATCATCACCCAGAATCCGAAGCTACAAACAAAATCCCCAAAATCACAACCAAAAAATTTGAACAAAAAACCCATTTACAAATCCAAATTTACACTCCCAAGCACATAACATTCAAAGCAGAGAATTACCCACACCAAATCCGCAGCAGTAAACACGATCTTTTATGGGCTTCAAATTTTCTTTAAATCGAGACCACTATTTTTCAGCAAGAGAGCGCTGCCATCTGTAGCCCCCGACAAAAAGATCCGAACAAATTTCACTAACTTGAGTGTTTTCTGGAAGAAAGGAGACACAGAGAGAACTGGAGATCGGAGAGCGAGGCAGAGAGAGGTTCTCTGGAGATCGGAGAGCGAGCGAGGCAAAGAGAGGTTTGAGAGAAACAAAAGGGAGTGTGTGAGAGAGAGAGAGAGAGAGAGACGGAAAGAAGAATCCAGAAGAGAGAAAACGTTGCGGTTCGCGAAGTACACGCGTGGCAAAGGAGGGCAAAATGGACTTTATACTGTAGCAAAACGTAAACAGTACGGGAAGTAAGTAAGAAACCGAGGGCATTTCTGGCATTTCACTGTTAATGAATAGTGTTCATCAACTGAGTTTTAGTATATATAATATGGCTAATAAATTATTGAATACTTAGGCAACATGATAGGAGTGAGATACGAAATGATTAGGGCTACTCTCTTTATTGTTCATTTGTGTTTGGACAAGCCATACAATATTTACAAAATTAATTTTCTAACAAGATAATCCATCTACATTATTATAATGGGTCAGCTACAACTAAGTATCAGATTCACTATAAATGTGTTATCATCACATTCATCCGAGTCAAATGTTGCAAATTCTCAGCTTTCGACTCTCTTGTTTAGTTTCTAAATCTCCAAATTTGGTCTCTCCTATCTCAATGAGTGAAAGTTTGAATAGCAAGTCTCACTGCGAATTTCTGGGCACCGACCTAAGCTTTGGCCTCTTTTATGTGTCCTCCAACTTGATCATTGACCCTTGGAACATTCATGTGAGTTTTCCTTTTATTCAGTCGGGTTCTAAAGAGTGCAATTTTGTGGGCCAAGTCTCGCCAATACTTGCAAGATGTTAATCCAAAAGAATTGGACCTACGGGCCCTCTTATGTACCTAAAGAAAAATTTATTGATTTTTTTTTAATAAATTATAGCAATAGTCCCTTAATTTTAACCCAATTAGAGAATTTGTCCCTCAACTAAAAATTCATTACCATTGAACTCTCAACTTATGAAAACGTGAAGCTATGGTCTTTTCGTCAACTTCGATTGAACTTCTATCAAAATGAGTCACGTGTCATGTACATGAGGCTAAATCAAGGGGCAAATAGGAAAAATCAAATAAGAAAAATTGTTTCAATGGTCCCCCAACTTTAATTCAACTGGAGAAATAGTCCCTCAACTTTAACCCAATTTGAGAGTGGTCCCTCAACTTTAACCCAATTTGAGAGTGGTCCCTTAACTTTAATCTAATTGTAGCAATGGCATTTTCAACATAATTTATTTTGACAGAATTCTAATGGAGTTGACAAAAATGACCATAACTATACATTTTGATGAGTTGAGAGACCAATGGTAATGGATTTTTACATACATAAAAAGACCAAATAAATAGGCCATGAGACTAGGAAGAATAACTAACATAATTGACACTGTAATATTTACGATACAATGCTATACATTTACATTCAAGGATGGGAGAAATAAATTGGCATCGAACTTGCCAATTATGAGATTCGAATTTAAGACATCTCATGTACAAGTAAAATAATATCACTACATTGTAAAACTAAGTGACAATTTATAAAATTTATAATTGAGAGAGTGTTGTAGAATTAGTGGGTGAATGCCCACTCAAAGGAATAAAAACTTAGGAATAGTGTTTGATACTTTCAAAAGTATCATCATTGTATTTGGATGGTTGTAATTACGGGAGTTGTTCTATAAATAGAGCACTTTGTGTTCTATCTAAATGTACACTGCGAAAGAAAGTAAGAGAAATAATATCAGTATCTCTCACCTCCTCTGCAATACTTTTGGGTTACAGTTATAGTGTGCTATTTTGCACCTGCTTCGCTTATGTCCTTAGTAAAAATTTCTCTCTAACTTTTACCTATTTATAACAGAGAGAATATTGTTAATGTGGGATGCCTACCGTCCGCTATGCTCCCTATATATCATACTTGGGCCTTTGCTAATCCATTAACTGCAAACATTGAGCACTAAACAACTTGGCCATTCATTTGTATCTACTTAGCATGATGCTTCTTGTTATCTCTAAACACCAAATAGAAAATCATCTTGTTCTCAATTATTAAAACAACATCAAATCAAAGTTTGGTTTAAGTACTTGTCTTATCTCATTTTATTTTTCCCTTTTTAAGTAATCAACTAGATCTTGACTACATAAAGGGAGAAACCACCACGAAGTACAATGATTGGTACTCCAAAAATCAATAGAAACATAAAAGAACATTAGAGGAGGGCAAAGTATATCTCAAGATACAATTTAGCGAAATAATAAAAATACAGATAATTTTTTCTTCTCAAGTGTGCGAAAGACTAAAAATAATGTATAAATTTTAACTTCCAATGTTTAATATCTACAAACGTTACTTATGCTATCATGTCAAAGAACGAAACAAACCCATTATTGTGGCGTAGCAAGTAGTCTTGGAACAATGTGCGGACATAATTGATGAAGTTGGCAAAAGAAGCTTATGGTAATGGATGACTAGTAGCCCCAACATATATCTTGATGTGCGGCATGACTCAAAAACAAGTGGCACCACCAACTCTTTCAAGATAGGGAGTATATACTAGCTAGCTAGAGTGACATAAATGGACGACAATACATTCAAACCCCTATCATAAGTCATTTGACTTTCCGATCTAATCAATCTTTCACATGGAATTGTATTATATAATTGATATAAACTAAGTTGACTAACCTTAAAGTACGCGAGAGAGTGAGAATAAAAAGTTGCATTTCTTTTTTATAAAGGGTGAATTTTTTTCTTTAACAATTGTAAATAGTGACATTGAATAAGCCAAATACATTTGAAAAAAAGTTTGAATAAGGAAAGTAATTTTCACACACTCTTTTTGTTTTGTACACATCTCTGTTTAATTATGGTTGTTAATGTTGTATGAATTATTCAATTTAATGACCATAAATAAATAAGATTGTTTGAGAAGCTAAAAAAAGAAGTATGAAAATCACTCCTCTTGAAAAACTTCAAGTGTGTTCATCAAGTATTATAAAGTTTGTGTGAATAAGATTTGTATCCTATATGGAGGTTTTATTTTTATTTTTTTATAAAAATAATTTAAATTACCAAATTTATGGAAAAAGATATATTTTTAACAAACAATATGATTTACACTAAGGGGTTAGGGGTGAGCTAAGCCTTACAATGGGCTAGCAATAATGTGGTTCAAATTCGCATTTGGCGAGAATCAAACCTAAGACCTCTTACTTACAAGTTACAAGTGTAAATGAATATCACTATACCGTAATACTAAGTGGCTATGGAAAAAGATATTTGAATGCAAGCAGGACACTACACTCTCAGGAAATTTTATTTGAACCCATATAACTTTTTTCTACATCCAACTTATTCTCTATACCCCTATTATTTTTAATTAAACTATCAATATCTCTTTAAATCTAAATATTTATTTTTTGTTGAAGGAAAAGGAAATGTAGTTTTATATGAAGTTTTAGGGTTTTAGCTAGAATAAAAAAATAGGATAATGATTATATGATGGTAAGAGATTGATTATTGAGTATGAGTTTATTGATAAATTTTATTTTTATTGTCCATTTCATCCTGTATTTGATAATAATTATCTAATAGGGTAAAAAAGACAATTCATATTTAAAGTTTATTTGGGTATACAATGAGGTTATATGGTTTCAAATAGTGTTTAAAATATTGACATCATGGATGAAGTGGAAGAGCGCAAACTCTATTGGGTACGTTTATTTTACAGTGCCGATCCCAAGCCCAAATAAAGGATAAAGGGGAGGGCGTCAGGTAATCGACAGCCGATAGTCTGTTCTTACGCCAAATGCTTATGATAATGAATCCTAAACGAAATAATGCTAAAACTAGGCCGTGACTCGTAAGTGGCGCATTGTATGGCCCAAGCACAGTGATAAGTGAGTAAGGGTCACTATATCTCCATCGGCACCCGGATACAGTGTTAAACGAGCAAAAGGGCCATAGAAACTTCTTTTTTAATGACTCCACTCAAAGTTGTTTGGAAGCATCTGCTCACATCAACTTTACCCAGGACACACAAAAGAAGTACTTTGACCTCACTATACGGGGGGAGGGCAAAGAAGTTAGGACATGAGGGTAGGGTTCAAGAGAGTAGAATGTGTTTAGGAACGTGGAATATAAGAACCTTAACAGGAAAATAATGGAAGTAGTGGAAATTATGGCTAGGAGAAGGATAAGTATTATGTGCCTCCAAGAAACTAAGTGGATTGGTGCTAAGGCAAAGAATCTCGAACACTTAGATTTTAAGCTTCGGTGTTCGGGCACAAACAGAACGAGAAGTGGTGTTGGCATCATCTAGGGGTGGCAATTTAACCCATCAAATTTAATCCCCTCAAGTAACCGATTCGAACGGTTTGGTTTCGGGCATTAAATTTTGGGTATTTTACGGTTATAGGTAACCGTCGGGTAAATTTTTTGGTTTCAGGTTCGATTATGGTTATTGGGGTATCCGCCCTAAACCACACTCGAAGCCGACCCATTTCATTTATTAATAAAAAATATAAATATTTATTATATGGAAAGGAATTGTTGGTAATCATGCATTGTTAAATATGAAAATTAATTATTTACTTTTAGATCATTAATATGTATAAATTATATGCTTTTAATTTTCAAGAGTGTAAATGCATTCTTGGTAATATAAATATTTAAAAAAAATTTGTTAGACATCGTTTTTATTTTCAAGAGTGTATCAATTGTATTAATAATAGCAATTTATTTAATGTTGTTTTTATTTAAAATTTTTTGTTTAATTAATAATAAAAATATATAAATATCATAATCGGGAAAATCATTCCCTGATGAAAAATTCGTCACCCGACAGGTTGTTGTGTTCTTTTCAAGTGCAAATATAAGGATAGTATAATGGCACAAGTAAGGGTGTCGAACCACAGAGACTGATTAGAACTCTACAAATTACTAACTTTATGTGAACCCTCACTAACAATGAAAATGAAAACTGAATTTAGATTTTTGTTGAAGCTAAAGTAACTTAAAATGCAAGACAAAATAAAGATGAATGATAGATTGGTTCATAAACGATGGGAAGTGATGCGAAATATATAAGCACACAAATTAAAACCCT